TAGTAGTAGTAGTAGTCGTAGTAGTAGTAGTAGTAGGAGAAGTAGTAGTAGTAGTAGTAGTAGTAGTAGTAGTAGTAGTAGTAGTAGTAGTAGTAGTAGTAGTAGTAGTAGTAGTAATAGTAGTAGTAGTAGTAGTTGTAGTAGTGGTAGTAGTAGTAGTAGTAGTAGTAGTAGTCGTAGTAGTAGTGGTAGGTAGTAGTAGTAGTAGTAGTAGTAGTAGTAGTAGTAGTAGTAGTAGTAGTAGTAGTAGTAGTAGTAGTAGTAGTAGTAGTAGTGGTAGTAGTAGTAGTAGTAGTAGTAGTAGTAGTAGTAGTAGTAGTAGTAGTAGTAGTAGTAGTAGTCTGTAGTAGTAGTCGTAGTCGTAGTCGTAGTCGTAGTAGTAGTAGTAGTAGTAGTAGTAGTAGTAGTAGTAGTAGTAGTAGTCGTAGTAGTAGTCGTAGTAGTAGTAGTAGTAGTAGTAGTAGTAGTAGTAGTAGTAGTAGTAGTAGTAGTAGTAGTAGTAGTAGTAGTAGTAGTAGTCGTAGTATCAGCGATCGTCGTACCAGTAGCTGTAGTAGTGGTAGTAGTCGTCGCAGTTTTTGTCTTACCGGTACCAGCAGAGGCGGCAGCAGAGAGGGAGGGAGGATACGTGGATGAGCAGCAGATGGAGGCAGCAGGGGGAGGGATGTGGGAGGGGAGAGCGTGTAAGAACAAACGGGGGAGGAGCTGGGATGGCTTGTCTCCTCCCCCTCGTTCCTCCATCCTCCCTCCCCCGCTTTTTCTCTCCCCTGTCAGGAGACGGGGCGCATCGCTTTGAATGCCTTCATGGAACCCGCGTTTAAGAAGATGGCGTGGCCAGAGGCGACAGCCCCCGCGAATTTCTGGAGACGGCAGCGGCCAGCGATCGCGGCCATGCGGGTGTTGTGGCTGAGGACCTTGGGACTCATGCGAGCGTCGGCTGCGACGGCGACGATGACGACGGCGGCGACGGCGGAGACGGCCGCGACGCAGACCACGACGCCGCAGACGTCGACGACGGCGACGGGGACGGCGGCGGCGACGGTTGCCGAGGACCTTGAGACACCTATGGGATACGCGGAAGATATCGATGGCCGCCGGGGGGCTGGATAATCACAGCGGGGGAAACGGATACTGTTGCCGCCCCTCCTCTTCCCGTGTCATGATTTATTTGGTCGGGCCATCTGGACGGTCTTCCTCGCCACGGCTGGATTTACTTCGAAAGCTTGGTCGTAACGCGCTCTGGGAGAGGTACATGGAGCAGCGGTGTTGGTATCTCTGTACTCCCAGAACCCGGGTGGACCAAGAGGGGCCAGTTTTTCTGCGTGAAGTGAGGAGTTCTTGCTTCGAGCAAGCGTCCCGAAGAAAGCCAATATTCCCCTCCTCTTCACTGATGTGGCTGGGATCCCCCCACATTAGTTCAGGTCATGCACACGGAGAGGAACGAGTTCATCTGAAACTCCTGGCAACGTCGATGGCCGTCCTGGAAACGATGAGCGCGTGACCAGAATTCGCGCGGCGTATTTTCCAGCGAGTAGGGGCGTGCCAGCGCCCACCCCAGTGGCAGGTGCGGCGCAGCAAAACACGTTTCTTCGTCCTCCCCCGTTGCTTCTTGTACAGGAGAAGGAGGAGGAGGAGGAGGAGGAGGAGGAGGAGGAGGAGGAGGAACAAGAGGAGAAAAAGGAAGAAGAGGAGTGAGAGAGGGCAAAGAGGAGAGACAGGAGAACGAGGAGGAGGAGGAGGAAGAGGAGGAGGAGGATGAGGATGGGGAGGAGGAGGAGGAGGAGGAGGAGGAGGAGGAAGAGGGAGAATAGGAGAAAGAGGACAAGGAGGTAGAGAGGAGGAGGGGGAGGACGAGGAAAAGGGGGGCAGGAGGAAGAGGAGGAGGAGGAGGAGGAGGAGAAGGACAAGGAGAAGGAGGAGGCGGATGAAGAGGGGGAAGGGAGTGAGGGAGGGAGGGAGGGAGGGAGGGAAGAGGGAGGGAGGGTGGGAGGGAGGGAGGGAGGGTGGGAGGGAGGGAGGGAGGGAGGAGGAGGCAGAACGGAGGGGGAGGACCAGTGCAAACCCGAGGTTCACTAACGATACTGCAAGAAACCCTTTCCGAACTCCCTATTCATAGGCCCCATACAAGGATTCATTTGCACTGAAGGAAGTGTCCCGTAGGAAAGTAACCGTTTGAAACCCCTGAACGGTGCCAGAACACCATTTCTGGGACTTCGACGCCGCGAATCACTCGAACTGTTACGTGTTGGCCATCCTCAGTCGTGCCAGGGCACCATTCCTGAAACTCCAACACCACGGATCAACGTAGCTGTTGCGCCCTGGCAGTCCGACATCGTGCCAACACACACTGTCTGGGACGTTCGCCATGAGAATATTTGACACAGCCGTAAACGCTTAAAACGTATGTGCGCGGCGCTCAGGCGAGAGCCGCAGTTGAAAAGGAGCCGCCCTCCACCCGTGAAGCTCTTGCAGATTTTCTGTTATGACGCATGCGCGCGGCGCTGAGGCGGGAGCTCCGTTTTGAAAACGACCCGCCATCCATGCGTGAAGCTCTGGCAAATTGTTGAGACGGATGTGGGCGGCGCGAACGCCAGAGCCGCAGTTAGAAGACCGCTTGCCCTCAATTCAGAGGTTGCCTGCACAGGTTCATGACGGATGTGCGCGGAGCTGGGGCGAGAGCTACATGTTGAAAACGACCCGCCTTCCATGCGTGACGCTCTAGCACATTGTTGAGACGGATGTGCGCGGCGCGAACGCCAGAGCCGCAGTTTGAAGACCGCCTGTCCTCAATCCGTGGATTGTCTGCACAGGTTCATGACAGATGTGCGCGGCGCTGGGGCGAGAGCTCCGTGTTGAAAACGGCCCGCCCTGCATGCGTGATGCTCTGGCAAATTGTTGAGACGGATGTGCGCGGCGCGAACGCCAGAGCCGCAGTTTGAAGATCGCCCGTCCTCAATCCGTGGATTGCCTGCACAGGTTCATGACAGATGTGCGCGGCGCTGGGGCGAGAGCTCCGTGTTGAAAACGACCCGCCTTCCATGCGTGGCGCTCTAGCACATTGTTGAGGCGGATGTGCGCGGCGCGAACGCCAGAGCCGCAGTTTGAAGACCGCCCGTCCTCAATTCGTGGATTGCTTGCACGGTCTCACGACAGAGGTGCGCGGCGCTGGTGCGAGAGCCGCATGCTGCGAGCGGCCCGTCCCCCATCCGTGAAATTGTTGTATTTTTTATAGGTTTCAGGGTCGTAGCGGTGAGGAAGACTCCGGCGAAACGACTGGCCCGCCCTTCCGACTGGCCTCGGGGTGCGACAGGGAAGATTTATTCGTATGGACAAGGAGTGGAGAACGACAACGAAGAAGAGGGGGGGCAGGAGAAGGGAGGAGGAGGAGGAGGAGCACGCTGCTGATGCTGATGAGAAGAAGGAGGAGGAGGAGGAGGACGACGACGAGGACGGGAAGGGAAGGGAGAGAAGGAGGAGGAGGAGGAAAAGGTGGAGGAGAGGGGGAGGGGGAAGGAAGGGGGAGGAGAAGGAGGAGGAGGAAGAGGAGGAAGCGGAGGAGGAGGAGGAAGGAGGAGGAGGAGGAGGAGGTGGGGCTGGGGCAGGAGGAGTAGAAGGAAGAGGAACAAAAACGAGGAGGAGGAGGAGGAGGAAGTGGAGGGAGGACGTGGAGGTGAAGTGGTGCGGAGGGGTGAACCAGAGGTGCAGGAGCAGGGTCAAGTGACGGCCGCCGCCCTCGCAGCAGTTTTTCTGGTCTGAACCCGTGGACTCAAGAGCTCTGAACCAAGACAGCGTCGAAACAGAAACGCATCGGCAGCAGGCAGGCTGTAAGGGGAAAAGGTGGACGATCGCTAGTGCATTTCCATACCCGTCCTCGATCGTCCACGCTACATTAAGTCAGATTGGGGCTGTCAGGCCTATGAATAATGCTGCTGCGGCCGCTGCGAAACCAGTCCTACCGTCCAGGTCGCTCTCGATCTCGCAGGCCACGCAGCTCGGAGTTTCGTCGTAGATCCTCGTGGCCTCCGAGTCCCTTCTGTTCTCTGTTTTCGTTTTTGCGCCTTTACCGCGCCGCCTTGATCGCCTCCTTCGCGGTGGCCGTCTTCTTGGTGATCCTTACGATCACGATGCCGCTGCGCATGGCCGTCGTCAAGTAGCCTCTCTCGGCATCCAGCTTCGTCAGCGCATCGGCCAGCTGTACGGATGTGTCGCACCACTCCAGCTCCAATCCATCTTGAGATCGTAGTTCGCAAGGTTCTCGAAGCGCTGCGATCATGACTCGAATTCGACGATGTGCTATCTGCCCCGCATCCGCGATCAGTCGGTCACCAGGCTGTTCGCGTCGTCGAACCTTTTCGCAGGGATCAGCGTCGCCACGTCATCCACCAGATCGCTGAGCGGCTGGTTGGGCTTTTCCTTCTCGTAGTACAAGGCACGGATCCATTCCAGCGCTTCCGCGCCCTCGGTGAGTTCATGAGCTTCGGCTCCCATCGAGGCACGGCACGCACGCTTGATCCGTGAGCTCTCCCAGTCCAGGAAGTGAACTCCGCCCTCCTTGTTCAGCCGTCGTCGGAGAGCAGGCACACGAACCCCGCCTGTGACTTCACCTTCTCGCCGAGCAGTCCTAGGTCGAGGTCGTCCACGTTATTGGGGCTGCTGTTGGCAAAGTCCACCGAACGCATGTCTCCATCATCGTGTAGTATGTCGCTCTGGAAGTGTATGTAGACGTCCCGCGTCTCTGTGCAGTCCTTTACCAGCTTTTTCATCTCACGTAGACGCTCGACTGTCGACTGGTTCTTGTACTGGGCCAGTCAACTATAGACGAAGGAGGCGTCCATGCGTAGCTGCCTCGATAGCCATCCCAGTGAACCGATCACTGACTCCGCGAAGCTCTTCTCGTCAACCGTAACCAACGCCTTGAGCTGCTTCGCGCGGGCATGCGAGCGCACAGCGTATTCCGTAGCGTCCACGAAGTGCCCCATGCTGATCTTGATCGCGCAGCCCCCCTCCTGCTCGACGTCCTTCCGGATTGCCAGAAGGGCGGTTTCTCCTCCGCCAGCAGTAGCGTTTTCTTCAGCTCGTCGGTCGTGCACTCGGACAGGTTGCTCTTGGGGTCGCTGGTCGCGAACAGGTCGTCGACGTAGGTGCCGATGAGGCCGACGAGCTTCCTGTGCTCGAAGAGTGGGAAGAATGCACGCTCCAGGCGGCTCTCCTGCCACGAGTTGCCGCGAAGCGTACGCTGTAGCTTACTTCACCACTTCCTGCCAGCGTCCTTGGTTCCGTAGATCGCGTCATGGCAGATGAAGAGCGAACCCCTTTCGACTCCAGGTGGTTGAGGTGAACGTGGACGTAGCACCAGCATGCGATCAACGTCATCTCTTTGGAGGTAGGCACTGGTCGCGTCAAGCTTGAACAGGGGGCCAATACTTGCGCGTCTCCGTGCTGCAAATCAAGTGGAAGACCGCAGGGGAGACATCGGCATGTCCGTCCTGACATTCGCCGACGCGTAGCAACCGACCGCCACCAGCTTTGACTTTGCCTTCATGGGGAGCTTCGGGTCGTGCTCGTTCTTTTTAGTATGCGCCCATCTCGACAGGATAGGCTTGACCTCCTTGACCAGCTCCTTCGCCGCATCGCCGGTGACCGCGATGACTGTCCTGAAACTCTTCTAGTTGTCACACTTTTTCGCCATGCGCCGAGCAGTGTCCCCTCCGTCTTTGTGAGCTTAGCGAATGCCGGCTGCTTGCCCCTAGACTTGCCGGTCAGCCATGCGTGGTTGATTTGGGCGTAGTAGATGTCGTCCGTTGCGTTCTCGGCAAGGACGGCCCCCCCACCCATGGGGCCCGGCCGCGAGCGCCTCGACGAGGTCCGTTTTTGGCAGTGGGCCTGGAGGCCCTCATGAGCTTCGCGCTCGGGCTGACGGGGCACTTGAGGTAGGTCGTTGACCGACTCCCGGTCCTGTATCGTTACTAGCAGCCAACAGGTCATGATTTAGGTTATCATCGTCGTCAGGGATCCGATCAGTCGCCATATCTTGCTCAGGTAGCTGTTCGCGGGCTGGTGCAAGCGCGTGATCGGCAGTCTTGGCACTGGGAGCTCCAGGAGCGAGGTCC